AGAAGGTAAGAACATATGCATGGTAGGGCAGAAGCATGTTTTATAGAGGGGTGCTATAAAAAGGCCCTAGCCCTTTGCTTTGTCAGGGGGAAGAACATAAAGAGAGCAGTGCTCTGCTTCAAAGCTGCATTTCCATAATTGCCCTGTAACTTGGGCGAGGCTGAGGGATGAATCTGAAGGGGGCTGAGAAAAGCACAATCTTTCAGATGGGTGAACGGCAAAAGCCTTGACGCCTCTCCCTCTGTCCGCCTGTCCCCCATTCCCCACTTGTTGCCTTTCGGATTCAGTGAAAGAATTCCTCTTTCTAACCCCCATCAACAATAGGCATGAAATCGGTGCCCTCCCTCTCTCCCGCTCTGGCCCCAGAGAATGTCACTCCTTCCCGGCCTTTTGTCCTCTATAGTAGGCCTGGGGAAAACAGAACACCCCTCTTTACTCTCTTTCTCACTGGCCATTCCTTAACCTGTTTGTGCACCACTTCCACAGTTAATAATAAAAATGGGCTATAAAACATACATTGGGGCACATGAGTTGCACGTCCACATCTTTGAGAGAGTACAGAGAGAGCTTTTCTGTATAGCTCTTTTCAAATCCAATGTGTAAAGTAAACTCAATAACAAGTTGGACTGGGTGGGAAGGCCTGTAACCCTGTGTACCAGATATCTAGTGTTGTGGTGGGACATGTGTTCTCTCTGAGCTGATCTCTTCTCCTCCTGTGGTCACAGACTAACACCCAGGATGGGTGGGTTTTAAAGGGCAGCCCTCTGGGCCTGCTGTGTGTGTGTATGTGTGTGTGTGTGTGTGTGTGTGTGTGTGTGTGTGTGTGTGTGTGTGTGTGTGTGTGTGTGTGTGTGTGTGTGTGTGTGTGTGTGTGTGTGTGTGTGTGTGTGTGTGTGTGTGTGTGTGTGTGTGTGCGTGTGCGTGTGCGTGTGCGTGTGCGTGTGCGTGTGCGTGTGCGTGTGCGTGTGTGCGTGCGTGCGTGCGTGCTTGTTGTAGGGGACAGGGACAATCAGCAGTGCCTCATAAAGGGATTAGCTCACAGGACAAAGAAAGTGGTCCTCTTCAAAGCTGGACTGGGGCCACAAAGGAGATGACATTTGTCCGTCTCTGTGTCAGGAGGAGGTGTGGCATGAGGGGACAGGGGACAGAGGGGGACGAGGGTCACAATGACAGAAGGGGTGGATGAGGTGAAAACACAAGGCTGACCCTCTTTATTTGGGCATGCCTTCTCTTTCACAGGGCACCTCTGGCCCCTTCTTCTGTTTATTTACTCCTCTGTTCTGGTTCTCTCCATTCACACAGGGCCTCCACCTCTCTCTGATGGCTCCATTGGCTGCCTGGCGTGGCAAGGCTCCTCCACCCTCCACCGGCCCCACTACTACACCATCCAACCTGGCACTACCGCGTCCGTCCGTCCGACTCAGCCGTCCTGTTTGTCCACCCTCCTCTCTGGATCAATGCACAGCTCAGAAAGACAGATTAGATTTCCTTTTCATGATTCGATCTTCTATCTTGGCTTTTCCCCCCCTCAAAATCTGTTTTTAACAACACATTCTTTTTTCACAGGGCGTAGCTATGTACCTCTGTCTTAATTCATTGATGCTGGATGTGAGCAGCACTCAGGAAAACAAAGGACATGTGATTAGTGATGGACTGAAATGCCATTTATTTGCAGTGTGTCAATAGGAACTGGGTTTCCCACAGCCTTGGTGCGTGAGGCTCACCTCTGATCACTCTCACTTTATACTGCAAAATAAAACTGTCCAACAAGCAACCCATATGAATAAACTTGTCTATAAAAACAAAAATGTGTGTATTTCTGTTCCTGAAATGTCGTTTATTCTCACATTTTATTTTCCTCATGAAGATGTTATCTGCACTACTGCATTTCTATTCAAAAGGACACTGCATTTCTAAAAATGATGTCTGTTTTGACCATATAGCTGTTCTTTGTCTTATTTTCTGTGCATAAATGTGCACAAGCAAGGTGTCCATCCATATCAGTAAATATGTGTTACCTTTCCTTTTTTAGCCGTTGTGCTATTAAAGCAGACTCTCTGGTGAATCAATCAGTCGGAGTATTTAACATCGCTGGGAGCCAGGAAATAATAAAGAGGACTCAGTGTTGATTATTGCTCAATAGGCACGAGGACATCCACTTAACACGGGGAAATGAGTGACACACCGTGCCCCGCTGGAAATGGCCCCTGCATGCGCTGTGGTGTGTGGCTCTGAGCGAAATGTTAGCTAATGCATTCCATTTGCTCTGTTCAACCGGGAGCAGGTTGGACACGTATGGCGACATAGACGTAGGCATGATTAGTTTGTTTCTACTGAGGAATTTTAATCCCTAATTTCATGCACGGATCAGATGAGGCCCTCTGCACTCTGAACAACGATCACTGTCCCCTCAGTAGCATTCGGATTGAATTCTCATGATCAAGAGAGATTGTTCCAGCAGCTCCCTTATCAACTAACATCCCCCCAGAACACTGAGGAAATCATCATCAATATTTATGGTCGTAATGAACGTGCGCACACATGTGTATGTGTGAGTAGGAGGGGAAAAAATGGTGGGGGTTCTTTATAGTTTATTATTCCACTGCAATTATTATTATTGACAGGAAAAATTATTTGTAATGCCTGTTTTTGATTAAAAATGATGTAATATCATGTCAATCTATTCTGTCAATTTGACTACATTTTAATACTTAATAAACAGTGCCTGATTCTGAGATGAAGTGTGATACTTTATATTTTGGTTACATTTAAATGTATCAATTATTATGTACTTTTATACTGTGGGTTTAAGTTTCATAGGCTAGAGTTCAGTTTAACAACCTAGACATCTTTGGGCATATTTATTGGTTTGGGAAGCGCGTTCTCCCTGGTGACCTGTGCTATGTGTTTTAAGTGGGTCATCGGTGATAGGCGAATGCTGGTCACTCGCTCCGTGTGACTTCCTGAGCAGCGAGGGGCAGCCAGAGCTGGTGGTGCTGGTGCGTTTCCGAGTGAAAGTGGGCACAATCCAGAAAAATTATTACATCAATCAGTGTCACAACTAGCCGCTGTGACTTATGAATATGCATAGTGCGCGCGCAGTTAGATAGGGGGCTCTCAGGAAGATAATTGATTGGACAGGAAGGCAGCATGGTGAGAGGAGCGCGAGAAGGCCAGCCTACTTAGTAGAATACCAAGCCCCGGTCCAAAGCTTTCTACCCGGCTGGGTCTCTAAGCACAGCCTCGAATGCCTGTTGGAAATGTTCGGCTTTTCTGTCTGTTGTGTTGCGCTGCTATATAACCATCCCAGAGCGAGCCCTGAAAACAAAGCGGTCCTGCTCTCCATTGGCCAACCAACCCAAAACGCGCTCAATTGGTGGAATGTGTGACAGAGTGCGTCATTTGTATGATTTTTTAACTTCAACAAAGAGGAAAAAGGAAATCTGGGGCTCCCCATACAATTTGAAAACATATTGTCTGTATTCTTCTATTTTCTAGAAAAACAATGTTGCTATTTGAACAAGACTATTTAATTGGCTAATTCAAACACATTCATAAATCTACTAAAACGTCTTATTTTAAAGTATTTCGTTTCTATTTCGATATCTGCGCTTAATTTCACTGCACAATTGACTGCAAACATGTCGCATATTCGATAGGATTTAATGTTTTTGCTTGTTTATTTTTTGCAGTAGGCCTAGCCTGTTTTTTTCTTTCATTGACATGTTGGAGAAATGGTCATGGGCCTACAACAACTTTAACCATTTTGAAGAGGGGGTTGAAATGTACAATTTAAACGTTTAATACTTTTTTTAAAAAAGTGAAATAAATTGAAACGGAAAAAAATTAATTAAATGATACTGAAACAACGAATTTAGTGAATATGTGCCCCATTTATTTATGTGGCCTGTTTATTAACATTGGTGTTTATGCAGCAGCAACATTTCCCAAGTTAATATGTACAACGAAAGGTAATATTACAAATGTTTCTTGATCTATTAATTGTTAAGAATGCTAAACCATTTTAGGTGAATTGAGTGTAACGCTGGAGAAGGTTCTATTTTAGTGCATGCCAAACCATGCCAAAAGCTTTTACGATGGGCCTATAACAAAAAATATTTTTCAATGGCTTGATTACATATTGGTCATTACAGTACAAAGTTGTGATTTAGGTTAATCTGTTTGATCAAAGATTTCGTATTGAAAACCAGAGAAATATCCCTATCCGTCTTTTCCAGACCGCAGAATCACAGCAATGGTGACTAGATTAGACTGTAGAGGGAGCTCCAACTCCAACTTTACATAAACTTTATCTCACACCGCTTCTGACATGTAAATTATCTTAGATGTGGAAACAAACATAAATAAATGATATCCCAATGTATTGGTGGCATATGGTTAGCAGTGCAGCCCACAACGGCTGACCGAATTCAAGATGCATAACAAAAAAACATGTAGTAGGCCTACCACAAATATCACATGCGAACTGAGATTGCATTGTACATACAACACCACAACCCATGTACGCATAGCCTAGCCTATACGACGTTTAACCTCTCAGTCCAAAATAGTTCCATCCAAATCTTCAAATAGTCAGTAGGCCTACATCATTTCTCTTCAAATGCCATACAATTTCAGACGAAAATTTATGAAATAATTATTCATTTTAATTCGTCTGTTACGCCTCAATAAAGATAATCCCAGAACTTTAATATCCAAATGTACGATGCAATAGTACTAATTACTCTTAACTAATTACTCTTAAGTCCCTCATGTGAAAATGCCTCAAATCCTGATAGAATATTTACTTATCACAGCCCAGTATGATGAAGCCTATCCGCCCCAGGCCACGCAGACAGACACACACACATGCAAAAAGCAAAGCATTGAAATTCTGCACCACTTCACAATCTAATTCATAACATCTAAGGCCCACAACAGCTAATTCTCCTTTCACAAAATAATCATCAGACAAACAGCTTCCCAAAAATCACAAGCGATTATAATAAAGTTGCAGCAGTTCATTTATTAGCCAAAATATAGACTTTCTTGTACAATTTGGTTCACAAGTATGTACATTTTCTTAACTTTATATACAAAACATTTTGAACATCAAATCCTCACAGAACTTACAAAAAAGAAAAAGAAAACTCACAGACTACTGGTTCATACATTATTACATTAGCAGGTTTACACAGGACATGCTTACAAGGTAAGTATACACAGATGTATTATTCTTATTTTACATTCCTTACAACAGATTAAAATAAAATCATAAAAAGAAAGAGTGAAAGTCAAAGTCTAGGAGGAGGCGAGAGCTGATAGAACCATGGCTGCTTCGAGTTGATTCTGAGGCCTGCAACACACGGGTCAAGAAAATAAATACACTCAGTAAGAGGAAAATAATAATAACCTAGAACTGCAAGGTAATGAAATGCTTGAAAAGTAAAGTGATATAAAGTGAAGATTGCTTTTGAAAAATGAGAGCCGGTTATAAAACCAATGTGGTAAATTTGAGCTGGGGTTTTTGCATGACAAATATGCAAATATAATTTTGAGGCCTAAACGAAATAACACAAGCACTGAGGAATCCATCTATTCCATGTCCTACAAATACGACAAAATAGGCTATAGTTTGAGTAAATGTGGTAGTCAAAGATAAAATAGGATGTGCATAAAAAATAATTTAGCCAAATAACATAAAGATGACAGTCTCTTACCGTCTATGAACTGGGTGGAAGGCTGTTTTTAACAACTTTTTCTCTGCTTCCAAGGCACTAGATCTCTCTGAAATAATAATGGCAATAAAATAAATAAATAAATGCATTCATTCTCCTGTCTATAACTAGAGCACAGCACTGTCGCCGTGAATTTAGTATTTCACTGCCTGGGAATCTTCACGTCAGTCACGGGTTAAATACAAGCACGTACAATACTGAAGTAGGTATGTGACAAAGAAATATGGGGCCAAATGCTGAATTTAAAAATCATTATCGGACATGAATGACCATCCATTCTCATAATAAACCAGCTGATAATAACATTAAAAACCAATGACTTCGGCCCTTTATTTCGACCAACTCTGTCTGTCTTCCCCCAGTTCAAAGCTTCAACACCACCTTATTCTGTCACATAAACGACAGCATGGAAACACACTTTTATGATCATCTTTACGGCCTCAAAATATCTGTCCAGAACAGGCCTATTTAAGTAGGCTATAGCGTTAAAGAGGGATAAGTAAAGTCTGAAATAGAGTAATAATGAACAGTTTGTTATACAGTCAGGCTCGCCAGCCTCAGTGTTGGTGACATGTACCTGTGACGGCTGTGTCTGAGCTATGACTCTTGTCCTGCGTGTGTTGGTGTTGCTGCCTGCTGTAGAGGGCGAGCCCGTTCGCCGAAGCCTGGTTCGCCAGTCCAAGGTAATGGTTAGAGTTCAGTAATGCGAGCTGGTGGGCAGAAAAAGCTCGGTTTGTCCAGTTCTGGATTTTTCCAACAGGACAAGAGATGAGTCTGTGATGAGGGCTGATTATGGTCTGGGCCCCGGGCCCAACTGTGTTGCTGCCATTCATTTGTGGAGATTTGCGGGGATTGTCAGGGGTTGTTGCTGTCTCCGCCAAAGACCAAATCTTTGGCTTTTGGGCCGGGGCCGGGGCCGCGTTATTTTCTGATGGGGGCGAATTGATGGACACCGGATTCAGTTTCAGTTGTTCGCCATTCGGTTGTGAGGCTTTAATTTCAAAAGAGTGATGGTGGTGGTGGTGGAAGTGCTCGCCCCGTTCCACGTTAATATCTTTGCCCTCCTTCACTACAGCCTTTAGAAATCTCTGATCCGGCCCTTGTAAATCCTCATAGCCGTCTGAAATCTCAGAGTCGCTTCTACCATCTAATTTTAAATCAGCGTGTAGGTCATCCTGATCATCCAAGTCGTCCTTATTCTCGATATTTTCCGTGTCGATATTTTCTAAATCGATCTCTTCCTCATCCTCCCTCTTGTCCCCTTCCTCTCCCTCCTCGTGATCACTGTTGTAAACATTTCCCTCTTCGTCTGTGCGGCTCCGGGGAGTCCAGGTCATCTTGTTCTCCTTCTTTAGCCTCCTCCTGGCATTGGCGAACCAGGTGGACACTTGGGTGAGGGTCATTTTGGTGATGATGGCCAGCATGATTTTCTCGCCCTTGGTGGGGTAGGGGTTCTTACGATGCTCGCTCAGCCAGGCCTTCAGTGTGCTCGTGCTCTCCCTGGTCGCATTTTTGGGTCTGGACGGGTCACCAAACTGATACTGGCCATATGGGTAAAACGCTGGGTGATGGTGGGCAAATCCTGGGTGTCCTTGGACGCCTGGACTGTCTTTCAACTCATACTGAGCACCCTAAAAGACAAAGAGCAGAGACCCAAAGGACGTGTGAGATATTATGATAGATTAATGATGTTTGCAAAACGAAATTCTACTTTATGATAAATAAGACCAAATCATATAGGCTAATATATGCAGTATTAAGCCACTATCACCACATGTGTCTTTCTTCACATAGGATATGTGATTTCTGCGTTTACGACTAACAAAAGCATCACCATATGTAAAAGTTACACATTTGTATTTTTTACACACCATTTCTGTTCAAGAAAAAAACTATTTGATTTCTAAATCTTCACTACCAATTGCAAAACATTTCAATGTATTTCAAGATGCATGTATCCACACTTTTAACGGCTGTACGATCAAATGCAATTTCAGTTGTTTTCTTTATTTTCTAGTGGTCTAAACATAGGTTTTCGACTGACATTTCGGTTATTGTGCTACTTCTTGGCTACTTTTTATATTTAAAAAAAAGGAGTCAATAACAAAGTTCACCAACGAGCACTTCTTGTTCAGTCCTGAATGGATCATTGTCTCAATAACGTAACGTCACCTCGCCCTTTCTCTTTTTTAGTGTGGATGGGGGAAAAAGCGAATGAAGGGAACCAAATGCATATATCAGTAAAGGCACTCACCAATTGATTGAAAATTGATATATCGTTTGAATAGGGCAGAAATGCTCCATAGCCCTGTGCTGCTGCGGCGAAAGGTGATCCATACATAGTTGAGAGAACGTTTGAGAGTGCCCCGGACGGGCTCAACTCCGTACCGGCTCGGGCATTGCTGATACCCTGGCGCTCCGGTGGGTATATCGGTCGGATGTACTGATATCCCAGCTGCGGGAAAGACATGGTCGTAGAAAAAAGTCTGCTGCAATCACAAAAAGCAGGGAATCGCCCTCGCGGTGCGTACTGCGATATCCACGTTACAGTGAGTACAACAAAGTGTAAGGGAAGTCTATATTTCCTCAAAAACAGCCAGTGTAAACGATCCGATTGCGCCTTCCTCCCTCACTTCCCTATTGATCTGGATGGACTAAGGTCAGGTCCTTACAGATTGCCTTAGATTATTGGGACTCCTTGCTCTGATTGACATTTCTAGTCGTTTAGAAGCCCCTCCTATTTCTCAAATCTCACCCCCTATACACACTCTCGCTCTTCCACGCGCGCCTCTCTCTCTCTCTCTCTCTCTCTCTCTCTCTCTCTCTCTCTCTCTCTCTCTCTCTCTCTCTCTCTCTCTCTCTCTCTCTCTTCTGTATTTCCCCTGGATAAGTGCACTGACGTCGCGATCTCTTATTTGAATGGGTTTCAAATCTCATTTGATGGCTCGCCAATCATTTAATTTGTTATTTGTTCGCCTCAGCCCTACCCCATTTTATTGCTAATTCACAATTTGTGGTCATTTGCACAAATAGTAAATATTTAAATGCTGTTGAGTGATTAACTTCACATAAGCCTAGTGTCTGCAGTTTTCTTCTAATGAATGTGTCCCACGTATGTGCACCCGCGACTCAGTTAAGACATGTCCACTGGAAAGAAAGACCTAAGAAACTTATGTTATTTCCCGTATCGAGTGATTTGGACCCAGGTATGCTAAAAGTCTATGGGCAAATTGTGTTTTCGTATGCCGTTTTGAGGTGTTGCCGAAGCTTCTAACAAGTGGCAAGCGGATCGGACTCAATTCACTCTTTTAATTTGGGACATCAAACAGTTAGCATGTAACCATTTGACGTCAGAGAGAAAGTTGTCAAGAAATGAAAAGCTGCATGGGTGATTAGCGCCTGCGCTGTTAATGAATGCAAAGTGTAACCGTCAACAATGGCAACGATAAGAAATAAACACGTTGTGTTGTGTATTGTGGTGGATATATATTTAAAGTGATACACTGGAAACTAAAACTTTTAGGTAAATAAATATTTTACATGAACAACAACAACACCACAAATAATGTTGATGTAAATAATAATAGTGTCATAAAATAACGATGATGATGATGATGATGATAATATTAATAACAATAATAATAATAATAATAGCCTAATAATAGTAATAATAGTAATAATAGTAATAGTAATAATAATAATAATAATAATAATAATAATAATAATAATAATAATAATAATAATAATAATTGCAAGTGGTTTAATTTATTTAAAATTCACTGATGTTATTCATTATGCACGGAAAGCTCATTTTGCACGGAAAGCCATAGCTATTTGTAAAGAGGTTAGGCCTGTTAAAAACAATTCTATAAAATCTAATTTTGTATGTATGTACCAAGGCTTCCCTTCCAGGAAAAAAATATCATCTTTACAAGACTATCGCACATAAAGATTAGGCTACCTTTAAGAAATCCGCTTGATGAATTTGACAAAACCAGTTTTTTCTTGTATATAAATCGGATTAAAACAAAGCAAGGGAGTCAGAATTGAAATTCCATGAATCAATATATAAAAATATGTAGGAAACATCCCTAATCGTATTACATCCCCGTCTTTGTACCATCATATGTCTGTTAATCGTTTGCAAAACAACTACAGTGGTGACTTATGTATTGCTGTTGCAGTTTATTTGAATATGATAAATCTCAGCGCAATATTGACAGCGAAATTAAATCTCATCAATCTCAGTTTAGTTTTGATGATGAGATCCGGTTTCCAAGAACTAGGTCTATGTCTATGTAGGCCTACTTGTTTAAACCTTTAATCTTCTTTTGGAGCTGATATCATTGTCTGGGAGGGATAATAGCAGCTATCATTTCTCATATAGACTATAAGGCCACGTCTTGTTTCCATAAACTCAGTGCCGAACCTCCGTGTTTCCCCTTAACGTGCTGGCATCTTGACACCCAACCGAACCTGGATTATGAGGTTATTAATTACAGCGAGTGGCGGATGCCATCCAACCGGCATGGTAATCACTACATAGCAGTCAATAACACTCAGACACACACACCAACCTGCAGCAGAGTGAACGGAGGGGCCAGACTTTACAGCTGATCTGAGAAACTCAACATTGATATTTGCCTTCAGATTGAGGGAGGAATGTGTTAGTTGAATGAGTTCAACTAAAATAGGTGAAGAAGTTAGTGTAAGACGTGTGTCGTGTCACATGTGTATTGAAATGCTGAATATTGGAACTGCCAACTTGTTATAATATAAAAGCAGGTGGTTGGAAGTGGGAGTGTGAACGACATATCTGCCAGTTAGTGCCCTCTCAGAGGCGCTCCCAGTTCGGATGGACACGTGTCTCATCCCCGGGACCTGTCAGGGCCCCAAGGACTCCGTCTGATTTATAACCCCAATCAAACACATATGCACTAACTTAACACTTTCACACCGACCCGGGAAACTGGCATAGCCATAAAAACATTAAGACTCTCAGCTCTCTCTCTCACCTCCACTCCACACCATATAGCGTCCCATAACCTGCCCTCTCCGCTTGACTCTATAACATACACACGGTGGATATATGAATCAAATGCACCAAACACTGGGGCAGCCACACTACTGCTACTACTACTACTACTACTACTACTACTACTACTACTACTACTACTACTACTACTACTACTACTACTACTAGGAATAATAATAATAATAATAATAATAATAATAATAATAATAACATAGGCCTACTACTTTTTATTATTTTGTAAAATTCTTTATACATGTCTCTATTCTTATAATATAACCCATGTAGGCTAATGTTTCGGTCATGCAAAAGAGGACAATCGCAGGAGAGTGACTCGAGGGCTGTTTTTTACACAGTTCTTTGAGGGTAATTATGCAGATGACACAATTTCACATCATTTTCAACGGCAAATATACACGGATCTATCGCTCAAGAGTGGTTCCTTATGCAATACACAAGACGCCAGCAACACATCGCAAATGATGAAATGAAGCTCCAGAAACAGGCGAGATCAAAGCCTTCAAACAGAGGCTCTTCAAATTACACATTTGAATCTTTTCCATAACTCCTAGGCGACAGAAAACAAGTAATACATTTCTTATCACACATGGAATCCATTTAAAGGAGCCTTCTGATCATAATCGGTTAATTGCGGTGACAAAGGATTTGAAAAGAAAACACAATTAATGACCCTTGATGTTTTGGGCTGTTGGTGGAAGAGGGGGATGGTGAAGTGTGTGTGTGTGTGTGAGCGTGCGTGCGTGCGTATGTGTGTGTGTGTCAGTGAGAGGGTGAGAGAGAGACAGAGACATACACAGAGAGAGAGAAAGAGAGGTCCAAATCGCATTTTGCCTTGCCTTGACAAAAAAGGTTTTACGTTGTTATTCCTTTGGAGGGAGACGTTAGTAAAACCCAGCAGCTTGCAGAGTTTGTTTAGACTACTTTTCTTTTTTTGCATCTTAAGTTTCATTAGCGCAAAGGGTATGAGGGTGAGCTGTTGTAAAGATTATATATGGGACCAAAGTGATTTACAACTATTTCCATACCGATTTATGATCAAGAAAAGCCATGTTGGTCATTTAGGCTAAATCTCGAATAATTTAGAACGTGTTCTACCCAACAATGATGATAGGCCTACTCTGTGTAAAGGTACAATGACACATTATGCCATCAGAGCCACAGAGAAGGAAGGGCCTTTTACAAGTTCACTGAACACGAGCACAATCAATAACAACGTTGCATGCTATTATAAGGCCGTAACTTCTTGACCTCGTGATGTTTTTTAGAGTTTAGTTGTTTGGCAATATCCAAACATTGCTGAGACTGAGAGGGGGCTTGGTTCAGAGTAATGGAGTTAAAACTGTACCACTTCCTTTATCTGAAAATATGTTATTTCAAATCCTTGTCCCATTGGAGAAGAAATAAAAGAGCAAGAAATCTCGAGGTGTGTAAAAAGCAGAGGGACATAATCCAATCATTGAAATAGTTTAATAAATTAATTATAGTTACCGGAAGCAAGAGTACTTTGAAAATAGATTTAAAGTTACATTTTTTACTGTTGGGATAATTTAAATAATATTATTTTAATTACATTACACTAATCCAACCATGCATATTAAATAGATAACTTCAATTTGCATTAGCGCAAAAGTAAGGAATTTTGAACAGTGCAATCCTTATTCACAATTTGAAACAAATTAATAGTCAATGGACTGCAACTTATTAAACTGTTTTATAACATCAGATCAAATAAATTAGTACAGTTTTAACATGTGATTTACATATAACTAGTTACCATTTGCCTATAGTTAGTGTATACTGAAACTTTTATCATTTTTTACATTTTAGTCATTTAGCAGACGCTCTTATCCAGAGCGATTTACAGTTAGTGAGTGCATACACTTTTCATACTGGCCACCCGGTAGGAATCGAACCCACAACCCTGGCGTTGAAAACGCCATGCTCTACCAACTGTGCTACACGGGATTTGCAAACACAACGTGCCATCGGAACACAGGAAGTGTGACTGTTACGGATATATTTTAGTTTTGGGTTAAATCAGATCACCCATGTTCACCATTTATAATTAGCAAAATAATTCAAGAAAACGATTATGGGCCTTGGCCTGCATGCTGTTTATATATATTTTTTATATAGACTACAAAACCACACAATGTGAACTTCGACCCCCTGCGAAACAGTCAATTATTAGGAATAATCACGCCTTTAAAGGTTAATAAATAAGCAAGCAAGCCTATATATACCTGTTCTACCAAAAATCAGTTTGGAACCTGTTCTATATGCACTAGGACTACATGGCATGCTACCCCAAACAGACTTGCATTACTTAACAGCAGTGAGGGCGAGT